TTGATGTAATTTATCATCTTACCCAGGATGTTGGACAAATGGTGTTGCCTTTCCATAACCTAATATTTGTATTATATTAAGAATAATTTCTGCATGAAGAAGTGAGTTTAAAAAAAATAGAAACTAAACAAAATTATATCAATTTTTACAAAAGTAATTAAACATTAAATTCTTCTGGTCACTGTATTTTATCTTTTAGCAAAAACTACTGATACAAAAGACAGCAGGAAACCCATATCTCTATGTGTTATGGCATATATAGACAGAATTGGTATCTGGGTACATAATAGGTCAATGTTTTTGCTTAAATTCTTTATGGTTAGTCAATAAAACAGATGTAGTAGTATATGGGTACTGAACTAGATTGGCTACTCTAGACTAAGTTCTGTTTCAGTCATTTTAATTAAGTTCTTCTTTCAAAAATGATATGATCTTGTAAAATTGTAAGCTGCAGAAGCAGATCTCTGGTGGTCCTGACCTGGCATCTCATCTCCAGTCATTTTTCCCACTGCATTAATATAACTTCTCTGCACTTTTTCTATAAATACTCTCATGGTACCTCGACTTTATGAATTTAAGCAAAAATTAGCAGCAAGTTTTTTTTCATTTTAAAGTTGAAATATCTTAGATGTAAACATAAATTCTATGCTAACAGTTTCTTCTTTCACACTTCTTGCTTGTGGAACTTTCTTTCAGCTTCTTGCTTTCCAGCCAACTTTGATCTTCAAATGCTGAAATGAAATGCCAATTGTTACCTACTGTCTTCTTAATTTTTGTTCTTTTAATGTTCTCTCTCCTTAAAAGTGTTTTTTTCTTATATTCTTACACACTCAGTAACCCCTTGTATCTTAGTGGCTTTATTGCCTTGCTTGGGGTAAAATGATTAAAAAACTCAAAATATTTGTTTAGTTTTATATACATTTAAATATATTTACTCATTATATCAATTCTTTCAGGATGACATATTTTAAATATTAAATATTTAATTCGGATTACTTGAGTCACTTATATTAAGTTTGAAAGAAAACACATCTAAATTGAATAATCTGAGGTAAATTTTAACATTAAACAAAAAATATAATGTTCATAATTTCAACCTTTTAAAAAAGTTTAATTCAAAGTGACAGATGAACATTTCTAAATAATTAACATGTTATTTTAATTTCAAGGAGTACCCTAAAATGATTATTGTGAGTGATACCTTAGTTTTGTAAAGGTTGATGTACAGATGTTTAGATTGTGTAAAAAATGTATAAAAAATGGAAGCAAGTAGCCAATTAGAACTTTCAGTTTGCTCTGTTGCCACTAATACTCTTGGGAAAGGTATAACTATCTTAGAAGGAAATATCAGAGTATAGCCTTAAGTGGCAACCAATCTAAGAGAAAGACAACTCTGAATTCAAAACTATGAAGGAGGTAATGGAAAACCACTCCACCATCTTTCCTAAGGAATCTTGGTAATTCACAGATAATAAAGAAAACAAATTTATGGATAACCCTGTTTGTCTTTATCATGAACTGACATGGCATTAAAAAAATAAATTTGCTTTTTACAGTAACTTATGCCATCATGTAAGTAATTATCTATATTACAACTTAATGTTACAAGGTGACTTTTAAATGCAGAAAAATTAGGAACGCTAACTGAGAGATTAATGGTTATAATTACTTAGCAGTGATAGCTCATACTACAAATGTAAATACAAAAATGACTTTTTATGTCTTGATATTCCAGTGATTGATAACAACAACAAAAATGATGACATTAGTAAATAATGTAAATAAATAAAAAATATTGTTGCTTTTTTTTAATAGTTTCATGCTTATTCATTTTATCAGTGGAATTTTCAACATCAAAGCACTGCCAAATTCCAGCACACTTTTGTTTGAAAATTAAATATTGATTTCTGATAAGGATACTTTTCAGAGCTAATGTCACCATTTATGTTTTAAAACTTTCTTATAGTGAGGTTTTTTCTCTCGTTACTGGACATTTAAGGATTTGATAAAAGGTTTTTAGTATAAAAAATACTTCCTTTATCCAGGTTGCATCATCCACCAAAAGTGGTAATCAAATATCATTCAGCTGCCATTTAAAAAGCTTATAGAAATATATTCTCTGCAAAATGACAGTTAGCTTTCCTTCGTTTCACCTCTTAATGACTGCAATTCATAATCTCTGATCTGCTAACCTTTTCTGGTCCGCTGCTCATGAGAAATGCATAATAAACAGATTGCAATTATAATCTAGAATTTCTGCACAAATGTTTACAATTGCAATTTCTATCTGTCCAGGAAAACAAACAAATAAAATAAAGAGAGAAGTTTCTCCTTGACTGTTCAGCCTTGCATAATTCATTTATAAGCTTAGATAACTGTCACCAGACAAAAGTGAGCATTTAATAAATCTCAGTACTCTACTAATAACAATTCATTCTCAGTTTACAATTTTTATAATCATAACAAACCATCTGCAACAGATTAATGAAAGAATCTATCATTATATCTAAAAATAAGGAAGATATTGGCCTACGCTTGGTTTCATTTCTTGAGTAAAAATGTTTTCGAATTGAACATTCAAATGATTCCTGTCTATGGCTTCAGGGTCATTTAATGTTGTAAATTGAAGTTTATAACTGAGAACTGTGAGTGAGGGTAAAACAATGTTTTTAAAAAACTTTAATTTCATTATATGATGACTTTCTGTTTAAATTAGAAAATATATTTAATTTGCTGTTTACTTTTTTGCTAACATTTTACAAAAAGCAAAAGATGAAAGTAAAGTGTACATATATCTTCTGTTTAATGAGACTTTCTTTAACTATGCTGAATTATTTAAACAAGTGAAAAGATGGCAAATTAGGTGATGTTTTAGTATTGTTAATACAAACATTAAAGAATTTTTCAAATGTTTTTCTGATGGCCAGTTCTATGTAGCTATGTCCAGAGTAAGAAATTCAAGTGAACTTAGCATTATGACAAAAAGAACTTAAGAAAATGAATGTCTTGCTGAAAATATTGTTTATCAAGACATTTTATACAGGTAAGAGAACTATTACAACTTACTTTTCTCTGTCTGTAAGATGGGAATTTGGTTAGTTAAGTGAAAAATAAACAGATTCTGTAATTTGAAGCTTACCTTTGTCATCACTCAGGAATCTTTGTACTTATATGAGTCAATGAAAAAATGAAGCATTCTCAAAGAATATATTAAAGAAGGGAGATGACTTTCCAAATGGTAGGATAAGGATTATGTGGGAAGGGAAACTTTTTTCTCCTGAGTAATCTAGCAAAAAGAAAACTAGTTTTTGTGTTGTGAATTTACACCAATTAACATTACACAATCTGCAATAGCTAAAAAGTATAACATTTTTTAAAGTCTCTCTTAAAATATTGCTAAGTACTTCTTTTTGTTATTTTGATATAGATATTTAGCAATATCCTAACTACACACCAAAATATTAAGTGTAAACAGTTTTTTTTACTAAAATTAATTTTCTTAAATCTATATAGTTTTGATAGTAAACAACTTTTCTATTTTTAAATGCTGTATCCCTTCAGGATATAATTAAATATGGCTCTCCACAGATTGCTATGACCTCTTAGTTATGATAGGAGAGTGGTTTCTCATTGACTTATCCATGGTTCTGAATTCACAGTTATCCTTGTTGACTGGCTGCTAACCAAAATGAAAGAGCTATTTAACCTATAGATGGTGGAGTGAAGAAAGGGATTCAAGCCTTTCTTAAGAGAATTATTACAAACTGAATGTAACAGGACAAAACTTGAATTCATCTTGCCAATTCCACTGATAGCCTTTATGCTGCCTACACACCCCATTTTTTTTATTTTACCAAAACAATAACAACAAAAATCAAAAAAGACGATTATCTGAATTTACGAGCAGTTATCATTATTTACATTATATACGCTTAGACTATTATTCTCATTTTTATTGTTGTTATCTTTTGTGTATTTGTGTCCTCCTGTATTCATTTGGTGCTTGTTGAACTGAGTAATCTTTAGGGAAATTTGAACTGAAACCTGTATTGAAACAGTGGCAAAAAATTGTTCTCATTATACTGACAATATTGACAAATATCTTGTCTACTTCTTATTTAGTACTTCTCAGTTACTGCTTACTTTGTTTCTACTAAGACTAAGTCTACACCAGGGAATGAATTTGCAGTAACTATATTCTCATAGCATATATGTTGATTCTTTTAAGCATCTGATTCTTTGATGTTATTCTGTCTAGTTTTTTAAATTTTATTCCACAGTAATTGTGAGTTCAATAAACAAATGGTTCATTTCAAAATCCCTAATTGTTACCCAGAGCAACAAGCAATTGATGAAGGCTATAGAGGGCACAACTTCTGAAACAATAAAGATAACAACAATAATCTGAGTGTAAATAATGTAAATAAAATGCTCTATAAACATTTTTAATGATTACCATATTCCTTTGTTTTTCTTTAGCTCAATACAAAATATACAAAACTTGAAAAAAAGAATGATAATTATTTAATAAATTTATGATTTCAAAGTTACATTTATGTTTATACAAACAGTTTCAGGTAAAGAAGACTGAATTGTAAGCTATGTAACTATTGAAATTGATCTCTGTCCCCCGAAAACTCAAACGAAATCTTAGGGTCTAGAATATTTTTTAAAATTCTACATAAACCAAAAAATTACTGAAAGCCCAGAGATGATTCTAACAACAAAAGAATGATTCTTCCAGTCAAGAGAAATAAAAAGATGGCTTTATATATTGCCTACAACCTGAAAATGGCTTCTGACCCTACCATGAAGTCAGTCAGTAATTTGTTTATATATGACAGAAAAAAAACACTTCAACAAATTCTGTGTAAGATGACTAGTTATTAGTTAATAGAACAGTTTTATATAAGAAACTCAAAATAAGCATGACTACTACTATAAAATTTTTAATCAACTTGAGCAACCAACCAATTGCAATATGACTTATGGCAATTTCACATTGAAATACCGGTTCTTGTACAATCACCAAAGTTAATCTTCATTAAGCTTGGTCAGTACCTAGATAGGTGGCCACTTGGGAATACCAGGTGCTGTAAGCTTGGATGGGTGGGTAGTGTAATGGATAACAGTTTGGAATTGAAAGTTGGAGAGCCAAGTTCCAATTCCAGGTGAATTTGTTATATTTACTTACACACAAATAAGAAAGGTATGAATCCACCTTTTCTTCCTCCAGTTATGGGTTAATTAGTGGGACTTGTATCCTTATCTCCAGAAAAATCTTACAATCTAAAAATAAATATTTTCTGACTTTAAATAACATGCAAAAGGTAAAAACAGTAAAAAATGAATTAATCAATCAATCAGCCAAACATAAAATCTGTTAACTGTAGTAAACATCATACATATGTGTTCATTTTTATATGTATATGTTGGCAATCAGAATGCTCAAAACAATAGCTTATCTTAATTAGTTTTAATATGATTTTTAATATGACATATGCTAAAAGGTATCATAAGACTAGAAATCTTACCAAAATATGTTCAAAATTAGCTGTAAAGATACTAAATAACTAACAAATCTTACTTCTGATGTTGAGATAGTATCAGAAAGTAACTGATACTTTTTGTAGTAAAATTAAAATGGTAGATTTACTTATTCTGTTTTACATGGAATTTATTTTTGGTTCTTGCCTTAAGTTTTCGATGAACTTACACATGCATTAACAAATGAAGTTATTCTTTTGCTATCTCTCTTGTGAAAACACATGTTTGCCAAAACATGTCAACCTGAGATTCCATTCCTGCTTTTTGCACATGATTGGTGCATCAATTTCATCAAAAAATCCATTATGAATCCATGTATCAGGTTGTGGGAAGAAATACCAGTCTAATGAAAATTTCTGTTGAATATTTTTTTCATATTGCACAAAAACTATTCTTACTATGTAGCCATAGCATTTAAAGAAGAAATTAAGATCTGGCAATCAATATTATCTTAAGAATGATTAATAAACAAATCTTGAGTTAAATGCTCATATCTGCTCAAAGAAAAGTGTTCTTTGTTTTCTTCTATGTAATTTGTCCCTTCAGGTCATAGGCAATCATAGTTTTCCATAGTCTTTGTAGCTGTAAGCAATTTTTGTTCCTATACTATCCCTCCAAATCCATGTTCTGCCATTGATTTACACTAGTTCATTAGGTAAGTTGCTTAATGTTTCCCTCTGTGCCTTTTGTTTTTTTATATGTCCTGTGAGTGTCAAATTCTCCAAGCCAACTTTCTTTATTATGTGTTCCAAAAATGTCAATTGTTTCTTTCTGGTTTTAAGTACAAGTAATTTTTTTCCATCTTGCTTAAAACTTTCTCATTGCTTATATGATCTGTTCATGGTATTCTTAGCATCCTTCTGTAAAACCACATCTCTGTCACTTCGAGTCTCTTCTTCAACTGCAAGGAAATTGGTCATCATTCACAACCAATATAGGATGATTGATATTACAAGCAGTCCAACAGTCTTTTCTTTATTTCTAATAAAATTTAAAAGTTGCTTTATTTACTACAAGTCAGATTACAAGAACATAAAGGAAAACCCACTATAAAAATATTATGATATACCCAACAGGATTATCAGTGAATGTTTTGAACTTTATTCACTCTTTCTTCCAAATGTGAATTATATTCAGTAAGGAAGAGTAATATATACACACTTGTTTATTTCTGTTGTGCATAAAATACTTTCTTCGTGCTTATATGCCCCCACCCCACCCCATAGTGACATTGACTTAACTGTACCAAATTATTTTACTACCAATATATGCATTAATTATTCAATTTAGATTAGTAGAATGTTAACAAGTATTTTATGAGAAATCACATTATAAAAATACTTCTTGCCACATCCTAGTTATAATGAACTCTGTATAAATAATGCAATTACCTTTGCCTTTCTTTCAGTAGGTAGGCTAATTAGCTTTCTGATTTCCATTTCTAACCAATGTTGTTATGTTAACTTTCATGCAAATCCCCTTGGGAAAGCCATGAACCCTTCTCTCTTTCCTTCAATTATTGGTTAACTAACAGGCTAGACTTGTCTCTCCAGCCATCACAGGCAACCAGTGTAAGAGAAGGAAATCTCTAAATTTAAAACTGTGTTGTAGGCAATAGTAAACCATTTCACTATCTTTCCCAAGAGGTCTTGCCAATTCACATATTATAAAAAAAGGGAATCTGTTGAGATCCATGATCACCTACATCCTGAAAGGATATGGCATTTAAAAAGAAATATGAGCAGGATCTGGGGAAGTTTCATGCTATATTTTTTCAACTTAAGAATATAACAAGGTAATTTATATAAATAAAAATCTTATTATTATATTTTTAAATAATGATTTTCCCATTTCTAAATTTTTATAAAAATCCTATTGCTATTAGTTTTTGATAACTGCACAAATAACAGAATTCATTAGCAAAGATATTTCACTTTGGCATTGTTCTCTGCCCAAAGACTTTTTCTGCAAAAAACATGAATCTGTCTATAAGTAAAAAAAATGTAATTGTGACGAGTGCATTTCAACATTTTAAAATGCTGGATATTATATATTTTCATTAATTACACTATATATTCAGATTATTGTCCTTATCTTTGTTGTTGTTGTCATAATGCTTTGGCCATTCTGCCATTTCTCAGGTGTATATTGATCTGGGTAACCTACTGGGAACTTTATTGTTCTTTATGTCTAGTATATTCACTTAATTCAACAGGGGCTGATGACTACCCCTTTCCCTCCATACATGATCAGCCATACACTATTTCATTGTCTCACCCCTAACTATGAATTTTTGAATTTCTTCCAGGCTTAATTTCAGGGGGCGGCTTGTTTCACCTTTATATTCTCTACCTCAACTCCAAGAAATCGAGAACACACAATTCTTGGTCATGTTTTCATCCTTGTTAGGTTTTACTCAGCAGAGATTTTTCTATAGAAAGTGCTTCTGAATATTGTCCTCATATGAGGAGAATTGTCCAAATATAAATAATGTAAATCCCAGAAATTCAGACAGAAATGGTGTATTTTCATGGTGATAAAATTATTAATAGATTATTAATTAGTTATAAGATAACTTACACTAGTTGTTACAGTATGCTTATGTTGGGTGTAAGTAGAACTAGACACACAGTCAACTGACAGGTAAGCATAATTTGGTGCTGAAAAGTTATCAGCCTGACCAGGAAAAGATTTTTAAAAATGCCATATCTGGTCAGATTTTGAAAAATAGGTTCAGCCAAGAAATTTTCAACACCCCCTCATACAAATAATAGATTAAAATGTAAATTGTTATTTTCACTCCAGTGTTCCTATTAATTATTGTTTATACAATATTTTTCGATAATCATCGTCAATATCCTTTTTAATATTGTTTTATTTGCCTAAACTTTGAATTAAATCATGTCTTTAATTCTTTCTATTATTATGGCTACCAGCCTACTTATTGCCATTGTCACTTATTGTTGTTTATTTTGTTGCATATATTAATATAGTATTAAATTGTATCATGTCCATCTGTTTTTATGAGTCTTTTGAAAAAGCCATCTAATTAAAGCTGCAAATGTCTTTCAAGAAAGAGATTCTCCTGAAAAACATGTCTACTCGACACAGTGAGTGGTTCTTATTACTCGTCAGTAGAATTAGACAAGTGTTTTCTCTCTTTCAAAGAATCAATTCATTTATGTCAACACCAAAGAGAGACAGGATATTGCTTCAAATATATGAGGTTTAGAAATACAAATCAAATAAGATACTTATTTGCTTCCAGATTCATATTTTTGCTCAGAAATGTTAGCAAAATTATATAGGAATATATGCATGTGCATATGCTTATAAGCAGAATTATATATCTTGATACATATAAGTGTGCAAGGATGCAAAGATAGAGTAATATGTATATATCACTATTTTGCTGTCATATATATATATATATATATATATATATATATATATATACACACACACACAAGAAGGATATCCAAAAAGTATGGTCAAAACATTCATTCATCCAACATTTTTACTACTATACAAATAAAGCATTTTGTTACAGATGTTACTCTCCACAAAGATATTTATTTACACTAGTTATATTGTTCGGACTGTTATCCTCATCTTTATTTTGACATTCACAGTGTTTCAGTCATTGTATGCTGGCTTTCTTCAGGTGATACTTTTTTGAAACATTCTGAATGTGACAATAAAGTTGAGGAAAACAGACTGAACAATGTAAATAGTGTAAATAGTTACAGTACTTCATCTCAAAAATATGGACAAAGACATTTATATTTGCAACCTTTATATTGCAACTGGAAATACAGACAAAGACAGCACCTATACAATAGCAATTTTGTGGAACCCAAAGAGATGATAGTCTGAAGCCAACCCAAAAACATGTTGGCTGTCGTAAAACATCTCAGTATATATTACTGGAGCCACTCATTTCTCAGGTTGGCCATGTATTTGGTGGTATTCTCCTGCAGTAGGGTGACACTCTCACACAAATATTCTGGTTTCTTTTGACTAAGAGTTTTTCTTTAATCTGCCAAGTAATTCAGTATCTGACTGTGTTAAATGTCTGACCATGCTGTATAGTTCATAAGCCAAATACCTTTTGAATCCCAGAACTCAGCTGCCATCAGTTTTTGCTGGGTCAGTGGTATTGAATGTTTCTAGGTCATGAAATCAACATTTGTCTCTGGAGTAATAGGATAAACTCAGGCCTCATTATCTTTGACCATGTGCCCCAGAAAGTCCGTATCAGCACCGGAAAAAAGAGAGATAGGAAGAGTAGTAAAGAAATTTTGGCTTCAATGAAGAATATTGATCTTGCTATATATTTTAATAATTTCATCAAATTTCTAAGTATCTTAGCCCTTCTGCACTACATTTAGAGATTCTTGATAAAATACAAAGATGAATCTTCAATTTTATTATTACTGACCTGGCATCTCAGCTTCAGTCGCATTCTCACTGCTATAACATAGCTTCTCTGTGTCTTTTCTATGAATATTTTCATGGTAATTATACTGATGAGCTTTCATCTTTGATGCTTT